GCTATTCATGCGCCAGCAATACATTCACAATAACACCATCAACAAAAGTGTTGGTTACAAAGCAAACTCAAACCCTACTTGCATTATCTCGACTCACTTGAAGCACTCACTCTTGTAAATTTCCGTTGATTTCAGGTTGCAATGAAAGTCAGTTTCACATATACTAGCCCAAAAACAAAATTTAATTCTGACAAGCAATATTAACAATAATTAATTACAGTGCGGCTATACACAAACAAAGGCCACCCGGACAAAATTCTGGGACAAATTTTGAAATTAGCTAATCACAAGTCAAGATCTAAACAATGAAATTGTGCATAATTGTACTCAGAGCCAGTTCAGAATACGTTGCGAACCATTTTTCTGACGGATACGTTGTATAGCAAATAGGGAATCGTGATGTTTGTGTAAATCAAGCTGAAAATGTTTTGACAATGTCTGGTTTAGCTGGAATCAAAGCATTAAGAAATTTTGAGCAATCTAAACTAATCTTTGAATTCCTGTAGCCTAGTCATTAAAGCCACTAGCCCAAGGCTATGGGACACACACAGTTTCGCCTCCCATGCAGGCATTTTATCCCTTCCTGTGAGGTGAAGAGGAATACAACTCTTGTGGTGCCTTGGAATATAATGTAGAAGGTGCAGTCGCACTTTTTAGCAACATGTTGAAAGTGTTTATATATAATAACCCTTTCCTTTTAGTTCTGGATATAACAATCAGAACCATCTCAAAGCAGACAAATGTGAAAGCTATGGTATGTAAATTAATATTAAATAAATAATATTAAATGATTTTTTGTTAACAGTAAAAGGAAAAGTTATTGGCAAACTCCTGGAAATAATTTCTCATTCATTATTATAATATGTGCAAAATGTATCTGTTCATATTACAGACAGTACGCAGCATTGAAGACCCGGAAAAGAACCCTAAAGCTGTGGACAACTGGATTGACAGTATCAAGGTGTGATCATATATGTTAATACTAATCTATCCACATACATTGATTACCATGTGAAAACAATAGAGGTCAATCCTCCATTTTGTAATAATTACCCAAGTGCCTAGGTACTTGATAATTAATAGAAATATTGTTATTATTATTATTATTATTATTATTATATTTTTTTTTTTATTGCAAGTAAAAAACAAAAAAAAAATTACGCGGAAGAAAGAAATGAATAAAAAGAAAAAAAAATAGCGAATTTACACACTTACACGGCAATACTTAAATTACAAATATTATTATAAAATGTTATTATAAATTGTAGCTTAAACTTGCATGGTTTATAAATTGTCTGACCTTTATTTTAATGAAATAATGTACTACATGTAATTATTACGAAGACAAATAATCATCAATGGTAGTTTTCACAGGTGACACATAACCGTTGTAGTTTGTACACTGCATATTAATTTTTGACTTGTTTGCAGAGAACTTCATCAACAAAAACCTGCTCCTGCAGTTCATTATCAGAGGTGAGGAGTTCCTAACTAAAAGCAGAGATTTTGTTTAAGATTAGTTTTATCATTGCACTTAATTTTACTTGACTTGAATTAAGAAATACTGGGTTGAAAAGGTATTTGGGAAAATAAAACTGTGTGTGTTATGTGGTGGTTAATTATTAACTTCTCTCAGCCTGGGTGAAGAGAAGGGACAACCAGAGAGACATCTGTATTTTTCACAAACTAGTCTCGAGGACTACCACTGGATTTCTGCATTTTAAAGGAGTCTGTCTTTGTAAACTTGTCAGCTCAGATACATGTGTGTGTGCAGGAATGAGTGTATAGTATTGAACAAGTGCATGTTAACAGAGGATTTCACGTCTATGAGTATCTACGAGTGGGCCTAAAGTTCTTGAAAAGTTCTTCATCCTGTCTAATATCACCACTTTGCTTGTCTGCCTTGTAGCCTAAAAAACTCTTTCCGTTCACTTCAAAAAATTCTTTGTGTGGTTCTGGAACCCTTTGTAGGTTAAATGCTTTCTCTTAAAAAAGTAAGGGAAGAGTATATGCAAATCATTTTCAGCTAATAAATTCGGCGAGGTTGCTAAATAAAGTATACGCCCATAATAGGGCTTAGACCATCCTCAGAGACCCAGGGGCAGCTAGTCAGGACGATAGAATGTTCATGGTGAAAGTTTACCATAACAATAAACTTTCACCACAAACATCCTATCGTCCCAACTAGCTGCCCCTTGGTCTGCGATGATGAGCTTAGACATGGTCTTTTCTTTCTTATTTTAACAGAAACATGCCAGATATTGAATTTCTTATGCAAGAGTGGCCAGAGGAATTTGAAGAACTTTTGAATAAGGTATTTAGTAACTTTGTCCTTTAGTAAGATTTCTTTAGAATCTGCTGAGGAAAATGACTTTATGTAAGGGTTATCGGCCTGAAGCGAGGGGTCATGTGATTTATTCCCCTCGTGCGTTGCCCGAGAGGAATAAATCACATAACCCCTCACTTCAGGCCGATAACCGTTACATGCTGGCACTGGTGGCATTCACAAGTTTCTTAGCTTTTTAATTATGTTAGTTTTTGAAAGTCGCATGTCAAATTAGTTGTTCGCAGTGAATGCTAGAAACAGCCTAAAGAGCCTAGCAGTGTCGAGCGATTCAGAGCCAGAAGTAGAGCCGTTTATTACTCAAACTAAAGCAGCTTCAGTGGCGGTACTGCAAGAGCTTTCGGAAAACAATTTGAATCTTCAGTTTGCGGGTGCAGAAAACGAACAAGCAGTTGACAATTTCAATTTTCGCACCGAGGATCTTTCGACCGACCTGCATGTTTACATACAAAGAAGATTCCGGGCGAGGGATCACTACTGTAACTCACGAGGAAATTCAGTCGAGGAATGAAGCAAGAATACCACAAAACACGAAGAGGTCAACTACATGTCTTCATAGAGTACACTAGTTTGGGATGACTGGTTAAAGAACGGAACACCTTACCATGACAGCGACACTTTCATGGAACCGTAGAAAAGACGCTCTTCAATTTCGAACTGTCGTTCAGGCTGTGAAAATCGATGAACCAGCAACTAAGAAAATCCGTGAATGTGGCGCAAAAGAAACGCCGCTAAGTTTAATTTTAGTAATTATAGCGTCGTGTTGAATATTTCCAATAAACATTTGTGATTTTTTTCTTTACGAAAAGCTAATTAAAATGCGGGGGGATTATGTATTAATATCATAATATGCAAGGGGGATAAGTGACTTATCCCCCTTGCATATTAATACATAATCTCCTCGCATTTTGATTAGCTTTTCATTAGCCCCGCTCTTTCCTTCAAACAATCACTGCCGCACCCAGCTTTTCAGACAGTTGATTCGGGGGTTATGTAATATATTCCCCCCGAAAAGAACAAAGGAATCCGAGCTTATGTAAGAATAAGCAGAACAAACATGCATGATGCAAATCCCATCCAGGGTTAAAAGCTAAACTGAAGTTCTTTTTAGGCTGGGCTTCCAACAGCTGATCTGGATGTTGATTTAAAACAATATGTTGACTTGGTCTGTGGTAAGTTGTAATCATTCATTCAAGTAATACTAGGGATTGGGGTGCCTTAGTGTACAATCGGTGACAAAATTGTTGACTGAAACATTGTACTCAAATAGGGTAACTTCAGAGAAGAAAAGAGTCTACATCCCTCCCCTGTTCCCTCCATTCAAAGTTGGGGTGTTTGTCGTTTTCTAAAGGTAGCTCGAACAGTGGCACAACATTGTATGGAGGGGATGGGGGAGGAAAAGCTATATCTCCTGTTTCTGAAGTCAGTAAAATGTCAAAAAGCCCCTTAAGGGCGAAGTGTCTCAACTCATTTTATCACTGATTGCAGCTATTACACATTAGGATACAAAGCTACTTGTATCAGTTATCCAGACCAGGGCTAGTGGGCAAGGGGTGCATTACCCTATGTAATGGCCAGTGCTAAAGGGTATGGGTTTTTTTTTACCCATGGAGGTATCACTTTAGGTTGTTCATGAAAAGAAATTCTTAAAAGTAACAAATGACATTATAATAATGTTATTGTTGGAATATGGTCTCCTCTATAGTTTACAATAAATAAAATCTTACCTACACCCACATTGGTGACCCTCTAATATGGTTTAACTCTAATATCATTTTGGACGACCATTTCCGTCGTTTTCATACAAGACTTCCCCCAAATCTGAAATGAAGTATAGATTTTAACCATTTTAAACTGAAATAGGGCAAGTCTTAAAGTGCTCTCTGGAACCAGGGTCTTTAACTCAGTATGTATTGAAAACAGCAGTTTAGGTCGAAATTAGGGTAAGGGGAAACCAGAAACGTTTTTCTGAAATAGGGCAAGGGTTTCAATGAGTATTCCCACCTCAAGGATTGCATAGGTAGTTAAAAACACGTGTAGCACGTGTTGGTGCAGGTGTTTTTGTGATGTGAAAAACTTGAATCAACTGTCCAAGTGAATAATAAAACATTAAGCCACCATTATTAAATAGACGTATAAATTAGGAATACAATGTCATTCATTTTAAGAAACATCAAGACTAAGATCTCGTATCAATTACTTCAGATAAGAAGCCAGTAGACAAAGGTTAATGTTCAACTGAACTGGTTCTCATTTAAATCCTTTTTGACAGGTATTCTCGGCATTCCTGTACATAACAACAGAATCCATGCCCTTCATGTGCTGTTCACACTATTCTCAGAATTCAAGAACTCACAGGTATAAAAGCAATCCGTAAACTCCTATTAATTATATAATTAATTAAATTTTACACTGTTCAAGATTTCAGTGCCAGTCAAGCCTTACTTTTCTATGACTTCAGATTCAAATTTATTTTGTTTGCACCTTTTTTTCCCTACACCAGCATTTTAAACAACTTGCCAAAGACAACCAACTGTCAAGTGACCTGCGACTGGATAGTGGTAGTGGCAATCCTTATACTGGGGGTGTGGCAGCTACTACAGAGCACATGACACTTAGTGGTGAAGAGGCACAGACTATGAGCTTTGATGACTAAAACATTTGCACCATTGTATATTTGCTGTCCCATGTCAAGTGAAAAGTTTCAGTCATGCAATGTAGAATTAACCCATTTCACCTTTATTAATGTCCTCGTATAGCCTTCTGTAATTTTGTGTTACCGGTACAAATGTTATCAATGTTATTGTTGAGGGCAAGAAGATTGTGTCATAGTTGTTGACGTTAGGTTTGCAAGTCTATTTTTATTTACTGAAATAAATGTGGATAGAACTGGCTGACACTGGTATTGGTGTTATGGTAATTAATCTAAAGAAAACACATCATGTTATTAGTGATCACATGTACTTTGGTTAATTTCTTAGCCTGCTTGGAAATTGAGTTTGGCAAGACAGACTTGTATGTGGAGCTTACAAAGTGCCAATATCAACCAGTAGTAAATTTCTAATGAAACCACCAGCATTTTATATTCATTACTATTTATTGATGTACAGATTAGAACTGCACTATATGATACCATTGTGAATAAAACAGTACTGAAAACTGTGCATGACTTTTGTATGTACAGTTTAGTCACGAGATTAACTGCTACCATACGGTTTTACATTGTAAGACAAAATGTAGTAAACTGGTAGGCTCAGAGTACAATGGGTATCTGTAAAACCAGGAAGAGGTCTGCAACACCCTTAGGACACCCTGGAATACCCCGGAACGCCCCTCTCACGGGCCGGAACCCCCCTCCCCCTGGATTACCCTTGATAACAAAAATGAGGCAAAAAAGCTACAAAACCAAACCCTGAAATATCATTAGTGAATCAATAAATATGATTTATCTGTAATCGGAAAACAGAGATAGGGTCAGATTAACGAATTCACGCTACGTAACGACTTCTGAAGATTTTAGGAAAGTAGTCCGTTGCCTGTATACGAATATTTACCAGCCTTTATGACTGAAATATAGCTAAAGAGCCGTTTCTAAAGTCAAGAAAAAAAATAAACCAAATAAATATTATGCAAAATATGGGACTTCCCCCGCTCCCCTCTCTAGGGGGAGTCGGACTACTCTCGTACTTATAAAGATTGCGTGTTTCTTAGCGAGTCAGTCCGTGACAAGCGCTTGTCAGCTCAAAATCAACGATATGATTTGATTCGTCTTTTTTAGACACGGTTCACAGCGGTAATATTGGGGATTCCATTTTAACCATGTCCTCAGGCTCTGTTTCACAGTCAAGAATCCTGTGAAGGAACCCTTCCCGTCGTCCGCTTCATTTTCAACCTAGTGTTACAGACATAGTGCTGCTGACAAAACCAAACTCGACCGTTTTACCTCCTGAAATGCTACGTGACTCTGCTGTTATCCGATCAATCCTCATGGCAGTAAAGCGCGTGCAAAGAGGCCGTGCAAAGATGACGGGTATCGTAGTGAAATAATGAATGAAGTCTGTTTCTGTGCCTATGGTTCGTACAATCTTGAAAACGTCTTGAATTTTACTAGTCGTCTTGAAATGTCCTTGAATTCGGTTTAGGTCGTTAAAAAGTACTGATTTCTTTATTAGGTCTTGTCTTGAAAAGTCCTTGAAATTCACAACCTTGTCTACGCCAGACAACTTTTTTCTGTTAAATTAGATTATTTTGTCGAGGAAGATTTGGCTCATCCTCGGTGTAAGAACCTGTAAAACTCACGGGTAACGTAAAGACATTTTGTGCATGAACAATATTTTATTTCTGTTTCTTTATTTCAAGTGCTATTTCTGTACCTCAGATGCAATTACAACTGAGTCATACACAGTCATTTTGCAAAGCCTCGGTGCGGAAAAGTAGTAAAAATATCGTGATCCATGATGGCCGAAGAAGTAAAATAGGTAAATGGTTCCATGACGTGTTTTTGCCAATAAGGTGATCAGAGGGGGTTAAAGAATGTCGATTTATTAAATAAATCTTAGTCCTTGAAAACTGAAATTTGTCCTTGAAAAATCCTTGAAAAGTCGTTGGAAATGTGTTTGTCTGGAGTTGTACGAACCATGTGTGCCGGAGATAAAACCGTCTCTAGCTAATTGTCGCTATGGTAGTTAGAGGAATTGGTTGGTTTGCCTGTTTCAGTCGGATGTTTCCATTACTTGCTGGTATTTTTTATTACTTCAGTCTGTAAATACACATCCTATATTGCTTATAAAGTAAATGAAACTGCTTTCTTGATATTTGCCTGTTTTTATGAGAACATAAGACTATAGTCAACTAATGGTTTCTCAATCTACACCCTCTTCAGATCTTAGTTCCTTGTATTGCGGGCTCAGCCTCCCGGTGCCAGGCCACAGTAATGGTGGAGAGGAGAGAAAAACCCCTGAATGTTTTTCAGAAAGTAACGAAAACAAGATGAGCAAACATCTTAGAGAAACTGGGCTTTTTACATCTTGTCCTCATGAAACCACGGCAGGGGTTGGGCCGGGGGATTCTCCCAACTCAATATGTCGCTTTGTACTCTTTTTATACCTGGTTGTCAAACCTTTAGGGATGAACGTTACTATATTTCCCTGAATTTTTATTCAAAAATCACGTCCCTGTGTCCTTCATACAAATCAAAAACAATAACAATCTCACTCCGGTGATTACCATAATCGGAGTCCCATTCATAGTCATCACATTCGAAGTTAATAGGGTGTTTAAGCAGCGACGTTTTTGAACGACGCTTGTCAACCAGAAGTAAGCCTTTTTCTTTTTAATATGCCTTGGCACCACCAAATTTGTATTGCTAAGTGTTTTTACTCTTAAAGAAAAGATTTGCACCCAAATTTGTTGAAAATCACGGCTCAAGAGTGCAAAAAGTCCACTTCCGGTTGACGTACGTCGCTCAAAAACGTCCCTGCTTAAGGTTCTCCTGAAAATAGTGACAGAAAATCAGAAGGTATCTAGTTGCGTTCCTGGGCAGTACCTAACGCATGAGCAAAGCCATATCACCCTGTCTCGACCCAAGGGCGTCCTTATTAGGGATCATCAAAATATGAAATATCAGCAAGTCCACAGCGACAAACCAATCATCATGGCTTAGCCGTCTGACTGAATGAACCACGGACTCTAGCCCCTGGAATAGGTTCAATTCAATGCTAATGAGAGATAGCCTGCCTATTTTACTTAAAGGCTCACAGTGGTAAGGGTAGTGGATTACTTTCACATTAAAGATCGTGTTTCGATTCCTAGGCATGCGCGAACCATATTTTGCGTTCCATAATCTCAGATGGGTTTCAGCACTCACATTCCACACTGTGCTGGTTTCATTATTCAGTTCAGAGTACTTGTCACTGTTAGAAGTAATATTTACTATTTACCTCACCCATAAATCGCGAAAGTTCATGAACAAGTAATAGGCATGAAAACCATTTTTCTCCCGACTCTATTGAGGAACATTGAGAGCGTTTTACGAATTATACTGCGAAAGCCCGCGCTCGAGACGCACGCGCCAATCGAGAGACTGGGTTCTAAACGAAACCAATATGGCGACGAAGTATTGACCAGACAGAACGCGTGTGTAGTAAATTAGATCAAAAGTAACATAATTAGACTTCTGGAACTCGGATTTGAGCTTCAGCAGTTCTTTTACTTACTCGTCAACACTTGGCTTTATTCATGATCTAAAAATTCTCGCACGTGCCATGGGGGAAGTCTTGAAAAATCTGGTGCGGGTCTTGTGAGGTAAGCTTATGTTTAAGTAGCTTAAGTTAAACTTAAGCTTAAATTTAAGAGTATGGTAAAGGATTAAGTTTATGGCTTAAATCATCAAGTAAATCAAGCAGATCTGGTACAAATTAAGGTGAAACATGAAATTTGGCAGGTACAGAATACACGTCATGCGGTCGTAAGTGCAGGTCAATCTCACACACGACTTCGATTCCGAAATATCAGGAAACCTCAAGTTGCTTTTCTCTCTGCTGTTTTGTTATTTATGTCTATATTTTTGTCTTGGATAAAACAGCAGGATTTGTCTGTCATCATTTTATTTAAAAAGGCACTACACAGTGAACCTCAGCACGATTTATAGCTAGAATATGCGGGGGAGGTGGGGGGAATCACATTCACAAAATGTAAAATTTATGGGGGGGCGGGCAAGAGAGAATGAGTTGGGGTCATTTCTAAAAAGCTAGGATGAATTTGGGGGGGGGGGGAAGCTTTAAAATAATCTCAGCTTTCTCAAAATAGCTACCCCCCGCCCCCTTCTCATCAAATGAACGACCAGCCCTCAGATAGAAGGATAGATAGGATAACTTTATTTATACTAGGGTATCTAAAAGATAGTAATGCTGCGGCACATTCTGTTGATACTGGCATTAGTTAGGCAGTGGGATTTGAAAGAATCGAAAATGACATTGAATGTCCTATTCACATGTTGGAAAGTACTAGAATAATTACTATCAGTCTATAGAAAGAACTCGGGGGAACGTTGTTTAGAAAATGATCAAGTGGTTATCAACTCTGGTTTTCCCACAGTAAATTGTAGGAAATGATAGAAATTCAGATTGTTTATCCACATATTTAATATATGGTGTACTATCATTTCTCTGGAAACACGATACTTTTCTTGCTGTTTATTGCACTTTATTAAGTAACAGTTATTTAGTTATATATTTATGGAAAACAACGACACAAAAAACGGGAAAAAAAAAAAAGAAAGAAGGAAAAAAAAAGTTCGGTAGGATTCGAACCCAGCACCATAGGCTCGACGCGACTACACCTAACCACTACACCACAGAGACTGATTAAGTAATCTTGGGAAAAGTCTTTAATTTAATGCTTTTTGCATGAAACTTCCACCGGCCAGATGATCGCCAGCCGCATTAATCGAGCTATTAACAGTAAAAAACAATGTAAACGCATATTCCATGGCAATGAATGAATGAAAAAACACAATTATGCTTTTCAAAACGCCGATACACGTCCTCTTCTGCAACGTAGGACACAAAACATGTTTTGTTATCTCGATTTCTGCTGTTATTTTGAAGCGAATGGTCAAAATCACATCCATTTTCGGCTCATACAGGTTCTTAAGAA